TCTCGTCTTGCCCTATTCGGATACTGTTTGCCCCTGCCTGGACCTTTGCCTTGTACCTGGATTTATCCCTCTAGTCTCGCCCTGTTGATTCTGTTTGCCGATCGTAGACCCACGCTAGCCCTAGGAATATTCTTGTGTCTTGCCCTCTATATACCTGTTGCCATTGTCTGACCCTTGCCTGTTTCTGACCATATTGGTTAATAAAGCTTCGCACTTGGATCTGCACGTCTCACGTCTCAGTCACTCCGTGACAGAATACTCGGCGGAGCAGAGAGCCAGGGCGGAGCCGGCAGTACAGGTGAAGCTGAAGACCACCACAGCAGAGCAGACGGGACCGAAGATCCCCCCGGCGGAGCAGAAGACCACCAGAGCAGGACAGAAGACTTTGCCGATAATGGATCCAGCAGTAAAGATGATGTTTCTCAGCCAAGGTACACGTTCCATTGAGGATTATGTTGTGGATTTTCTTGAACTGGCACACGTGACTCATTTAGATGAAATATGCTTAATGATATTTTTTCGAGGGGGCCTATCTGAACCTCTCAGTTCAAACATGCCACTGCATGACCCTAACTGGACACTGGAATATTATATTGAGGAGCAGAGAGCCAGGGCGGAGCCGGCAGTACAGGTGAAGCTGAAGACCACCACAGCAGAGCAGACGGGACCGAAGATCCCCCGCTCAATTACTCCTCATGAGCCCGCTCCAGTTGCTGAGTCCACTCCAGCTCCCCCAGAAGTGGCAACTTCTGCTGCAAAACCTCCAGAGGTGGCGGCATTTGCTGCAGAACCTCCAGAGGTGGCGCCAGTCACTGCAGAACCTCCCAAAGCGGCAGCGCCCACTTCAGCTCTTCTCGAGGTGTTGGCTTGTGCTGCAGAACCTCCAGAGGCAGCGGCGTCTGCCTTTGAACTTTTAGCCTGTCCTGTCACGACCAAGGAGGCCATCTGTGAACAATCTGTCTGTCCAGCCACGGCCAAGGAGGCTGTTTATGAACTCTCTGTCTGTCCAGCCATGGCCAAGGAGGCCGTTTGTGAACTCTCTGTCTGTCCAGCCACGGCCGAGGAGGCCGTATGTGAACTCTCTACCTCTCCTGTCACGGCTATGGAGGCCATATGTGAACTCTCTGCATGTCCTGTCATGGCTATGGAGGCCGTATATGAACTCTCTGATTGTCCCGTCACATCTGGTTTAGTTTGTCATTCTTGGCGAAGTCTTGTAAGTGTTATACTGCATCTCTAAGCGTTTCTCCTGTTTATATGTATCTTGGTTTTTGGACTCTTTGCCTGTGTTCTCTGCCTTGTTGTTTAGTCGGACTGATTGCCTGTGTGTTGACCCTTGCCTGCTGTCCGATTCGATTCTGGACTTTCCTAATAAACACTGCATTTGGATCCTCACTCAGTCTCAGAGCAGTTCCGTAACAGCATCGTCATTTGAATTTCTTTTGGTACCTCTTTTGACATTTTTGCAATAAACAAATTATTGTGATTGCAGTTATAAAACATAATATTAATGTTACATTGTTACTAAAATTGTAATTTTCTTGCACATTTCCATCTATTACTTCTTGCACATTTCTGTCTATTACTTCCGTAATAACTTTTTACGTTCGCTATAAAATGGTTATGTTTAGGTTTGGGGGTAGGGTTAAGGGATCTAAAAATCTAAATCGTTTATTGATAAAATTATAAAGGTGCATTATACAAATATGTTTATGATATAAAAGATTTGTAAATATTGTAAGTTTTTTTTAGCTGTAAATATGTAACAATGTTTATGTTTTAAACGTTTAAATACTTTCAAAATGTACATTTCAGCATCAGTCCAAACGTACAAAAATTTAGGTTTTGTGCATGTAAATGTTACGGATTTTGAATCTAGAACCTCTGACACGCCAGGCAGAAGTTTTTGCTAGGCCATTAGGGAGTACGGAGATGGGTCGTGGAGCTATACATTTGTTCACTGACATGAAGAATCTTGGGACTAACAATACATTGCATTATAGTAGATGTAAGGATTAAACTATTACATTAAACATTACTCTAATTGTCGATTATTTGAAGTGTAATATTGCATTTGATTTCTGGACAATATTTTTTTATTTTACAATTTCTGTTTTCACACACACACTCCTGTCCCTCCCACTTTTTAAAACAAAGTTACACCACTGATTTTGACTATATATTTAATATGTTTAATAGATTATTTCATGTATCAATATACTGAAAGAAATGATTCTCAAACCTCAGTTTCTGCAGCTGGCAGTTTGGGCTCTTCAGTCCATTATAGAGCAGCTTCACTCCTGAATCCTGCAAGTAATTGCGACTCATGTCCAGCTCTCTCAGACGGGAGTTTGATGATTGTAGAGCTGATCCCACAAACTCACAGCACTCACCAGGCAGATAACAGCATAACAAACTGAAGAAAATAATAATAAAATATGGATAATTACACATACATTTATTATAAACTGATAAAAGGGGAATCTCTGTCATACCATAAAATTAGGGGTGTCCACGACTAAGGATATACATAGTCAAATCAGAATGTTCGAATCTTGCTGATAGTCGACTGATAGTCGAATCATATGTTTGGGGGCGGGGGGCAAAATACATTACCAAGAGTCAAATAGTCATTCAACAGTCGACAGTTGAACCAATTTGCGTGAAAAATGACGGAAACTTTCTTACGCTTGTGCGCAGCTTGTTACAGTACCAAGTTCTGATTGGCCAATTGCCGTTATTCGTGAATTATCTTAAGTAGATAATTTTAACATTTCATTTGCATGATAAGTTTTACATAATACACATTATTAATTCAAAGGGGATGGTAAGGGGGGATGGTGGTTTAACTGAGGGGATGCTTTTTTGTAATTTTTTTCAACCAGGGGGATGCCATCCCCCCGCATCCCCCCTCAATTCGAGCCCTGATTGTAATGTTTCTTGATCCAATAAAGAAACAGTTTTGTAACAAACTGTGGTTAGTTTTAGTACTGTCAAATACAAATACATTCTATCACTACACTGATCATAACACCTCTGCAAATATTCGACTGTGAGATTGGTATCGAATCAGGCTCCTCCTATCGAAGCATCGAATCTTTGACTATTTGGCGGCACCCCTACATAACATAAAAGTGTACGGCCATTAACCAGATACTGAGGATCATAAGGAAATAGAATTGTATCTCCTGAAGGAAACAGGTGTGTTTGGGTAAGTTTTGGTTTAAGAGTTCTGTATAAATTCAATGCTGCAGTTGACACTCTACGCATTGTTTTCTATGCAACAATATTCTTCTTTCCTCTGAAAGTAACTCTAACACATGCAAACACAAAATGTATGCATTTTATATATATATATATACAGGTGCATCTCAATAAATTAGAATGTCGTGGAAAAGTTCGTTTATTTCAGTAATTCAACTCAAATTGTGAAACTCGTGTATTAAATAAATTCAGTGCACACAGACTGAAGTAGTTTAAGTCTTTGGTTCTTTTAATTGTGATGATTTTGGCTCACATTTAACAAAAACCCACCAACTCACTATCTCAACAAATTAGAATACTCCATAAGACCAATAAAAAAAAATTTTT